TAGGTAGATCACAATCCGCTAGGGGCGCTACAGTCGTAACTGTCCACGGGCAGTGAAGTGTTAAACTGAAGTCGGCCTGCTGACAGTTCGCCTATGGAACCCCTTTTTTAAATCTCTCTTTTAGCGCTGCGTAAAAAAACTAATACAAGCCATTAACTAAATAAGTTGTAAATCAAAGAGTAAAATCCGGTCACATGATTTTCCCATGTTGCAGTCTTTGACAAGTTTCGGTTCTGCTTGTTTTAAGTTTTGCCTCTACAAAATGCTAAAAAATTTCAGGTAAGTGCTGGTATCATCTTTTTGAAATTTATATCCAGCAAAGTTTATGAAATTTGCTATATTATGTAGAAAAATCATGAAATTTGAAGGTTGCGAAGTATAGTTAATTTAATCCGCAATATTACATGATGTGAAAATTACCACAGGGAAATAGCTCTGCCCTGATTAGTCACAGGCTATGTGAGCCAGACAATAGGCTGAGCACACAAAGACACACAGGGTGCTCTGCTGCGCCTGAGTGATCACTGCTGGTCAGTGGGCACAGGTTTTGAGCTGAGAAGTGTGGACACTTTTGGTGGATTTTTGCAGTTAAAAAACTTCAATATCTTTGTTGCTTGTAGGAATATTTAAAAAATTCCAAATGATTTCATCCGGTTTTTGCATTACCTTTCAGATGATATAAGTATTTTAATTTTCTGATCAGTTTGAAAATTTTTCTGATATACCTACAATTGCTTATGCCAACGCCACCATGGTCATGACATTCAAATAATTACTTTTGGGGAAAAACCTAGTAAGGTGAATTAAAGAATGATATTATTCTGGTTTCTAGATCCAGTGGCATGGTTGATCAAGGTGACACAGACAAACGTGCCCAAAGTCAAATAATAAAGCGCAGTACGGGAGAAATAGCAGCCGAGTATTTAAAATATAATCTGTTATGTTTTACATTTAAACAGTTTACCTTCACACTGGGAGCCCTTTGAAATGCCTTTGACCACCTTGTGTAAGATCTCCTATATCGATCTGTTATCAGCGCATGTTTTTGCTAAATCATCTTGCTGGTAAAGTTTGTTTTCGTAACATTTCATTGCACGTTGTGCTACAGAAACAGGTGGCAGCACTATCAAGAGGAGACTGTCCATAAGATGGGGGGGGGGGGGGGGTGAGAAGAAACAATATTATCTTTTTTGCGCTTGAGGTTTGTGGCCTATTTTTTAAACTTTGCAGCATGTTTGTAGACGAAAAAGGTAAGAATAAAAATTGATTTTAAAAAATAAAATAAGAACGGATCGGAATAAATGAAAACAATAATAGTGTTCACATTGATAAAAATAATTAAATGTCAGTTTATTGTGTAATTTTGTAAGAACAGTACACAGGTGAATAATACAGAAAGACTCGTTTTGTGCCTTATTAATTCCAAAAAAGTATATCGTAGAAACAGAAACAATGAAAAATTAGCTATTCATCCAATCGCAATTGCTTATTTTAAAAGGCAAGACATACATGTAGCCTACATTGTATCACCACTGAAAATGTTACTTGCTTACATAATTGACAATAGAATGACTCATGAAGCATTATTCTCTAAGCTTCAGCTTATATATTGTTCGTCTCATCAGTGACGGATTTAGAGGGGGAGGGGCTCAGTGGGGTCCTGCCCCCCCCCCAGCCTTCGGTTTCTGAAAAATATATCACACCAATATTCCCCTCTTGAAATTAGAATTTTGACTTATTGAATCATAGTTTTAAACCGTACCAAAGGGCACCGTTTGCCCTCCACAACCAACAAATTTTCAGGGCCTGAACCCCACGCCAAGGGGGCGATGATCGGCTTCGCATCCGAGGCCTGTCGTTCCGGACCCCCTCCCCCCCTCAAACAAACCTGAATCCGCACCTGCTCATGGTCATATTTATGGTACATGTGAATCCTCGGAATTCTTTAGCATATGTCTTTCTTTAGTGGGTATTATAAAAATGCCACCCCAAAAGTCGCGTTACAGTTTGAAGTCGTGGTAAAACATTTGTGCATCCGAAATAAACGTAAATAAAAGTAACCAAGGCGAGCAAATATTTTTTGCACACATAGAAATAACAATTTCAATAATCCAAAAAATAACAATGGTAGACATATTTAATATATCTGCAGTGTCTGTTGATATTCATCTTCAAACCATTTTAAATTTAACAGAATACATGTAGGTCTTTATAAATTGGTGACATATTTAAGTGTACCATTCATATGTGATGCCTATAAATATATGCACGGCGCTTAAATAAGACAAATACAAATAAAAGGGACAAATAAATATTTATTTCAGTGATAACAAAATCAATCAATGAACTTCTATGTAACGAATATATAGGACAATTAATGTGTCGTCATCTTTAATCTCACACCATTTATTGTATAAATTATGTGCGACGAAAAATAATAACAAAGAATATAAAAACACCGATGTTAAATGGAATGTTTTCAGTGTTTAGAAAATAAGAACAATATGTTATTTAGCTACATGTATGCTGTAGTTATCTCCTATGAATAATCACAAGTAATTTTAATATCACGTCACATTATTTCCCTTTCTTCTTTGTGGTCTGTCGTGCTGTGTATCCTGAGATTTCGGAGCAAGGCCTGTGTCATTATCCAAAATTCCCTGGGGATATCATGAGCCCTTTACAGCTCCCCGACCTTTATTTTTTTATCCACGTCATTACACCGATTCACCGGTGTACAATAACCCTATAAAATAAACGAAATTGGAAAAATAATTTTTGACCATTTACTCATGGTGTTTTTCTCTTCAAACTCTATGTAAAAATGATAATACAAAGGTATGGCCTTCTGAGTTTGTATTTCAAACAATGTTGCTGCAATAAATATCGTTATACAATTAATTATTATTTGGGCGTTTAAATATGAAAAACTGAAGGCTGGGAAGTTCTTCGTAACTGCCGTTATATTCACAATCGCCAATTACTTGGACCACATAATTCTCTAACGGAATAAACAACAGATTGAAAAACAGAAGAGGTATTGACGCAGGAATTAGTAAGCTGCGCTTTTTTATTTTTTTTCACTGAAATTCTCATTTTCTGTTGAAGATGACGCATATTGGATGCACGTCACCCTTACTAACCTGCTATACACGCTGTAAGGAAACAAGCCACGTTCCCGGCAATCATCGCCCTCACCACCACTTTGGCCAAGTCACGTTTCCTAGAGGGCGCCATCGCTCCCAGGCCACCCAGTTGGACGCCTATTGAGGCCAGGTTTGCAAATCCACAGAGGGCGTATGTTGCTATAACCTCGGAACGAGGCTGGAATTCAAAATGCACGTGCTTAAATTATCTGAATACCTCTTTATAATGATCAATTAAAATCCAAGTAGTTAAAGATAACATAAGTTGTCTCATAAGCACAAGGCATCTGTCAAATATCTTATTGATGCAGTTATGTAAGTGGAGAGAGAGAGAGATAGAGAGAGAGAGAGAGAGAGCTCACCGTTATAACCCCGCCCACTAATGTCTGGTTTGTAGCTGGTAAGAAAATGTCATCAAATATATACTGCGGTCCCTCTGTAAAGTTCTGCATTGTGTAACTTTGTAAGATGTCCCTGTTGTTAATTAGTTTTCCCAGGGCATCATAAGCGACGAATTCGTTCAGGAACGTCTTGATCCCTATCAGTTCTGCCACCTTACGGCAATCTACGGCATCCGTTCCCATAACAAAGGCAAATGGCCATAAAACGTAAGAGCATATCAACTGAAACGATAAATGGAACAAAAACTGATTGCAAGCTTACATTTCAGAAACCAAAATATGCTCCGACGACAAGAAGGAACAACCTGAAAATGCTGTGATGTAATTAAGTTTAAATGCTGAAAATATCGAATTATAAAGCTGCATTTCTCTGATAAAGGAATTATATTCAGGTTATAGCCTACCAGTAAGCTTGTGCTTACAACTGGACAACAAAGTCTGTGAATTCATACATCGTTGGCTTGAGAGCCTTAGAGATACCAATAGGGCGTTTGTAATATTGGCATTATTTCTAACATCTTATTTCTAATATTGCCCTGGGATGTGAATTTTAATTAAAAGGTGGCTTTTATTTTAGCTTGACAAACAAAGAGTCAAAGTGGTTTATTTATTTATGTTTAAGTTAAAGTTGCCTAAATATTGGACGTGTACACGAAAAGCATGCAATAATATTGATATGTTAATGAACAATATCTCACCTGGAACGTGAGTTCGGGGTACAAGGGAGGCTCAAGCCCAACGCGATGTCCACACCACTTCAGTGTGGCGTTCACGAACTCCAGGAGGGCAAGGAACGCGATCAGGTTGGCGGCGATGTTGGCGACCAGTTTGATGGAAGATGAAGCCCCGGATGAAGCTGCCTCGATGATGTTTCTCTCTTTCCTGTAAGTCAAAGCACATGCATATAGTCAAAATGTCGTAATATTTAAAAACGCACTGCATTAAATGATTTTGATTAATTAAACTTGATAAACTGTTACTTACTATGAAGTTTTTCAAAAATGTGTTAAATTATGGACCTGGACCATACACGATTTTAATTCGAAACGGTGAAGTTCATGATTAACCGAATACCACTATAAACGTGTTGTCGATTTCCTTATCAGGGTTCAGATTCATAAAAGGAACCAATTTTAGAACATCTCTGCTTTTGCTTTCACTTATTTGAACAAAAATATCACCCTAAACATTGCAAGGAGAACTAATGTTTACTGATACTCTGTACTTTGTGGAGCTGTTGCGCATGTATGCAGTCCGGGACAGAAGAATAAGTTAGTAAAAACGGTCTTAAGTCAAGACTCACTTTCAGTGTCAAATCTATTTCTGTCATCTCCTCTATTATCACATTTTGGATCCCTTTTGGATCCCTAGTATGTCATATCAAAAACTTACGGTGTCTCCATAACTTGGATGTCTTTCGATGTAGTCTTGGATTTTTTAGTCTCAGGATAGAATAACTTGGCCATTGCCAGAGCTGCTGGGGCTGACATCACAGAGGCAGACAAAAGATGGTTGGCTGGGACCTAAAATGAAAAAAAAATCGAGTTACAGAATCCACTCGCTAGGATAAGGACCAAATATCAACGACTTCATTTTGAAATATAGTTTTTAAATGAATGTGACGAACGACACGTCTACTTTTTTGTTCATAAGATTATGAAAAAATAGGAATTTAGGCAGCAAAGTTGACAAACAAACACATTCACCCTCTCCTCTTAGCGGCCTCAATCTCAATATTCCTTGCAGAGATCCACTGATACAGTCAGCACTGCAATCTAAGTTGCAAGAGAAAAACCGGCCCATAATTGAGCAGATGTACTTACACCAAATAATATATAAGCCGCCAGAACACTCCCAGCTATTGTGGCAAACCCCCCAGTCATCACAGCGTGTATTTCTGAGTTGGTCATGTTAGGCAACAGGGGACGGATCATGAGTGGTGCCTCGGTCTGAAATGGAAATGTTATATTATCATTTTTCATTACTCGAGTGATGTCATAGGAGAACCTGCGGCAGATTCCGTACGCCTAACTTTTAATACGCAAGTAGCAGACATTATTTGTGTGTAGCAATATGCCTGGTGGTGTGGGAAAGCGATGTCATTCTTTAAAGCGACGAGATTAAAGTCCTAATGTTCTTCATTTGATGTCTGAATATTTTGGATGAATGTTTGTCCAGCATATTAGATGAATATCAAGGACTTCTGAGCCGTCCTACCTGTCCAATGAAAATATTGCCTGCCGCATTGAGAGATTCACCCGCAGTCGTTCCCATGGAAACCTGCATCACCCAGGCAACCTTCCTAATCACCACCTGCATCACTCCGAGATAATATAACACCGATATGGCTGTGCTGAAGAACACGACTACTGATAGCACCTGGAGAGAAAAAATGGTTTTCCTGAATTGATTGAATGAAAAGACAGTGTGTGTCTGTTTGAAACACGCTTATAAAAACGAATGTTAAAAGGTTCGATTTAGATTTTAGAAATATAATTGGTAATCCCATAAAAGGTGTACTGGTATTATCTGCAAACGGAAACTGCCAGATTTGTGGGCAAAATACCAAATGCACAATTATGTTCTCAACTTGATGTATAACCAATAAAATGTCTAGCTCCTCTCGAAACAGCATAAAAACATATTTTACCATTGTCATAAATCCTAATTTCGTGACAAAGATACTTGCCTTGAAGGCAAAAAAATGATCCATGTACGTGTCCACTCCAAAGACAAAGGCGGCACCAGCGTCTGAATGAGCCAGAAATTCTGTCACTCTCTCTCCTAGCCACTTGAACGCCTCAAACCCCCAGGACGTGCGGAGAATCAGTAGGGCAATGATGAACTGCAGTGAAAGACCCCATATGACTGGTCGCCATTTGACCTAGAATATAATATATTTATATTTGGTACAATGTCCATCTTCATAAAAAATGCAATACAATCTCAGTTTACTCACTGCATGTCCCGACATGAATTTAAGACTCAGTTTAATGCGTTTCAAAATGACTTGATACCAGGTACGCTCTGTACTGCAGATGTGCTTGCACTTTGCCAGCTCAGCAATGAACATGCCGTCGCATCTAACGCAATGCGTACGCGGTAATGATGGACATAAAGGTCGAGTAATATTTCATTTGGCAAAGCAAACACCAATAACAACGACCTGGCTGTACTTTCGTTTGGCAAGGCAAAGGAACGCCTGTTAGATTTCAGTTAGGAAATCGACCGAAGTGTTCTGATCGACAAGAACAGTTATATTTATAAATCACAAATCTCAATATCCTCATAATGAATCTAGAAACCTAAACTACTTAAACTATTGAGACTATAAAATCTAATTCAGCGTTTCTAGAAACGCATTTTATCATTGAAAAAAG